GTTTGGTAATGCAAAGTATTTCACTAAATTGGACTTAACTAGTGCTTACTGGTCAATACAATTATCTGAAGAGTCGTCGTATTTGACTGCATTTAACAGTCCATTGGGGGTCTTCAGGTATCTTCGATGTCCATACGGATTAAACGTATCAGGTGATTTTTTGGTTCGCGCCCTCGAAGAGGCACTGATAGGTCTCGAAGGGGTAACTACAATTGTTGATGATATTTGTGTATTGGGTTCCACGAGGGAAAGTCATGACCGAAATTTAGTAGCTGTCCTTGAACGTGCTTTAAACAAAGGCATTCGTTTCAATTCCAGAAAGTTAGAAGTAGGTCTCACCGAGATTAGTTATTTTGGTCACGTGTCAACTGCAGAAGGCTTAAAGGCCGATCCCGCCAAAATTGAGGCCATTAAGGATATGAGACCACCCACATCAAAAAGTGAACTACAGGTGGTATTAGGCATGGTCAATTATCTCAGTCGTTATGTCTCTGACAATTTATCAGAGATTACCGCTCCTATGAGAGAGTTATTGCATAAGGACACTTTATTCACGTGGCAAAAGCCTCAAAGTGATTCCTTTGAAAAAATGAAAGAAGTCATATGTAAGGACACATGTTTAGCTTATTATGACCCAAACAAATCCTTGACATTGCAAGTTGATTCTTCTTCAAAATCTTTAGGGGCAGTAATCCTTCAGGAAAAACGTCCCATAGCATTTGCGTCCCGTAGCTTAACTGAATCACAGAGAAATATGGGTCAAATTTCTAAAGAATTATTATCTATTGTCTTTGGATTTACGAAATTTCACCAGTACTGCTATGGCCGTGATGTCATTGTAGAAAATGACCATCTCCCTATACAGGGATTGCTGAAAAAGCCTATGCATTCAATACCTGCTAGGTTGCAGCGTTTAGTCTTGAAATTAACTCCATATAGGTTTCAGTTTCGTCACATGTCCGGTAAGAAATTCCATTAGCAGATGGACTTAGCAGAAACGCCAGTCCGGAAACAAGCCCAGAACTTAATGAGGGTATTGAGGCACACGTTTGCATGGTTATCTCATCTTTACCCGTGTCAGATAGAAAACTTGAGGAAATCAGGTTACACACAAAACAAGATGAACAATTATGTACATTACAACAAACAATAAAGTTTGGTTGGCCTAAGTACAAAAAGGTTTGTCATCAGTTAATTGCTGCCTTTTGGAACTATAGGGATGAGTTATCTGAGGTTAATGGTTTAATAATGAAAGGAGAAAAAATCGTTATGCCCAGGTCACTTAGATCTGAAATGTTAAAGGTGCTGCATTCCAGTCATCTGGGTGCGCAAAAATGTCTTAGTAGAGCAAGGTCAATAATGTTTTGGCCGGGAATTTCAAATGATATAATTGAAATGGTAAATCAATGTCAGATTTGTCTGGAATACAGGTCATCGCAACAGAAGGAGCCATTAATCAGCTCTGAAATCCCAGATTATCCGTTTTAAATTGCAGGGTGTGACTTGTTCTCACTTAATGAGAAAAATTTCATGGTCATGTCCGATTACTATTATAGGTATCCCATAGTTCATGAACTTTCGAACATAAAAAGTTCAACTGTTATTTCCCACATGAAAGATATCATGTCACATTGGGGCATATGTGAGAAAATAGTCACTGATGGGGGTCCATGTTTTTCTAGTCAAGAATTTGAGGAATTTTCAAAGTCATGGGATTTTGTACATGTAAAATGTAGTCCATATCATAACCAAACAAATGGTTTGGCTGAGGCGATGGTTAAAGTTGCCAAACGTATACTTAAAAAGGCAAAGTATGATAATTCTGATCCAAGAATATGGTTTTTAGAATATCGTTCTACTCCTCTCGCTGATATAGGAAATTTCAGTCCAGCGCAGTTAGTCCAATCACGACAACTTCGTTCTATCCTTCCCACTGTAGGGGAAAACCTTATACCACGAGTACCGCCCCCTGATGTAGTCAAACAAAAAATAGCAGAATCCAAGGTCAAATCTAAGCATTACTATGATAAAAATGCTAAGCCTCTGTCTCCCTTAAATGTTGGGAGATTCCGCTAGAATTCAACGTTTAAACAAGTCCTGGAGTCCCGCTGTTGTAATAAAAAATCACAGCGATAGGTCCTATATTGTTGAAACAGAAAACGGACAACAATATCGCAGAAATCGTAAAGATTTGTTGAAATTTAAAGAATCACCTTTATTGACACATGGTGCTTTGAATTCTGGCCTTGAAATGTCAGTTAATGACAGAATGATTAACGTAGGGTCAGAGCGTACCGATAGCAATAAACAGCCTGTGGTTTTGAATCCTCCGGATAATGCTAATTATTTCACTCGCGCAGGCAGAAAGGTGAAGCCACGTGCTGTAACAGACTTGTAAATAGACAGTGATTGTTTGTAATGAAGAAATTTACAGTATTAATCATGATTAGTACATGTTGTAAACGACTCATGATAATGAATATTTATTAACTACATGTTACTGTAATCATCATCTAATATAAAGTTTTTCTTCCTTGAATTTAATTAAGCGTTATTCAAATAATCTTTAATATAGTTAAGATAATAAACGTAGTTAGAGCACATATATATTTATGTCGTTCATAAACCCATGACATAACAATCCCGACGAAATCCAACTTGAACAGCATAACCGGCGTTGTTGTGTGAAAAAGAAGAATTAACAGTCTTATTAGGATGATAAGACGAACTAGAACTAGGTTTGGAAGCTTTAAGCTTTTTGACGGCCCTGGCTTCAGCCTGCCTGAGTTTCTTTTCATCTTCGCTGTCTGAGCCTAGTTGGGGCTTCTCGTACTCTTGCACGGTAAGCCAGCCCCGGGGGAATTATCTGCCACTTGAATAAGCTTATTTCTATGCTTCAACGTTGAGCTTAAACTGCCAACAATATCAAGCGAAACACGTGGTAAACGTTGTCTAACCTTCTAAAAAATCGGAATTAAATGCATGCTGTATTTTATTCGATTCCTTTTTCAAATTCACAGTTTTCTTGCTCTGAGGTGATTGATTAATGTCAATTAAATCATTCTTGAAATCTTTTAACTGAGAGTCAAGATAAGTTTTAAATAGCGAAAACGCTTCTATAGCAGAATCCCCCGGGGACTTACCTCCTTCTCCTGGTAATGAAGCTCCACCACGTGAACAACCAGCATTTTCTATCTCGCTGTCTGACATGTATACTGTGTCGTGTAAACTTGATGTTAACTATTACCCAGTATTGCGTGGAATGATCAATACACCTATTACACTGGTTTACGTATACAGTCAGTGCATGGCTCACTGACCATAACCATATAAGGTAAAAATCGGAAAACGTAAGAAATATTAACGAACAAAATAAATATATATGCTATAGCGTCTTATGGACCTTTCCGGTTTTTCGTAGCGGAACATTTAGCCACACCTTTTCCATTCATTTCTAGGTCAACTGCTCACAAACAGTATCACAAACATAAGCACGTGTACATTTGTGCAAACCAGGTCAACCAGTGACTATGTCAACCAGTGACTATGTATTATCTCAGTTATCGTATTCGCATTAAACTGTAAACACCAGAAAGGTCCATTCCGTGGTCACAGTATATGTTCCTCCACATATGTTTTGACACATGTTGTGAACCTAAGACACTATAATAATACTGTAATGATGATTATATAGGTTGTGTTTTACCAGCATTCACAGTTTAGAACTAAAAGTGTACGAATCATGAAAAGAAAGACCAGGCAAACTTAATGGAACTATACAGGCTTATTAATAATAAAGCCAATGAACTTAACACACAGAAAAATCGGAATATATCACGTGCAATTACAATTTCGTAAGCAATGGTATAGTGTCATACGTAACGTCATATATGATTGGTAAATGAATAGAAACGCCAGGCACACTTAATAGAACTATACAGGCTTATTAATAATGAAGCTGGGTCAAAGAATAAATTTAATTTACAGTAGGGTGAACGTGTCAGTTTACACGCAAAACGCACGTTACACGCTATACGAACGCATGTTACACGCTATACGAACGCACGTTATACGCACACAAAACGAAACGAAATACGCAGACGCACGCAAAACGATATACGCTAAACGAAATACGCTAAACGATATACGCACGCTAAAACGCACGCAAAATGAAAACGTTTCTAAACCTTTATTAAAACATCATAATCATTTTAGGTTTTTAACAACTTTAGCTACATGTAGATCGTTTAGCGATAAATTTTGATTATCATATTGATATATATGGTAGCTAGAAATGTATTTTAAACGAGTTTATTGGTTGGCGACCACCAAATCCGGACGACCATCAAACCCGGACGGTTCATTAAACGCTTGATTTCGTTGTTTTCTTTGATCAGTTGTTGTCGATCAATCAAACGCTTGTTTTTGACCAACATCAGAAAGTGTTTGTTTGTAAGTATTTGTTACAAAATAATCGTTTTAATTTTCCAAATTTCACTTCCGTGTTTATCATCGTGGGGGAAGTTGAAAAATGTCCAATGCGCATTCGCAGAATTCCAGCCCCTTCCTATGTGAGGCCCGTCTGCAGTATCACCGATAAATTTATGTCGGCAGAGGATAATATCAAACTTTATTTTCGCCGAAAGAAAAACTTTTTAAAATGTTATGTCATAAAAGTTTTGACATATTTACACCAAAATATCGAAAAAATATGAAAAATAAATGAAAATTTACAATTTTCATGGAAAAACTACGCTCGATTTTTAAATCTAAGGGAGGCAACTCATACGAACGTATCGAGTCGGAAAATTTTAGATTTGTCTCCCTTACAAATAAGTGGATTTCTTACAGAGTCTTTTGCTGCGTGTAAAGAAAAAATAGAAAAAAATATATAATTTGAGTTATTTATGTTGATTTTTTTATTCATCGATTTTTTAACAGATAAGGACTTTTCTTAAGCTTTCAAACACACATACCAATCTGTTCCCTGAAATATTTTAAATCTTGCTCAATGCACAGATATATTATATTTAGCTCCATGCTCAATGAAGACAGACTTTTATCGAACGCAAGGGACTGTTAGCCTTTCAATCTGTTAATCACTGGGCCATGCTTCAATTTTCAAGCTTTAAATACAAAAGGGTTGTTATTACGCATATTAAGATAATGAAAAGACACAGAAGTTGAAAGTATGCCTATGCTTTGTGCAATATATAAGAAATTCAAACCAAATGTTCATATCTTTCAGAAAATGCAGGCAAACTACTCACCAGGACAATTGAAGAAGGCTTTATCTGCTGTTCGACAGAAGAAACAGCCGATCAAGACTGCAGCCCGGGAGTTTGGGATACCTAAAAGCACTCTGTATGACAGGTTACAGGAGAGACCATTGGACATCTGCAGCCGGAAGAAGCTCCCGAGGCTGTTGACTGTAGAAGAGGAAGGGGCCCTGGTAGAATTTGTACTTTACATGGGCGGTCAGGGCTTCCCCATGACTAGGACCATGATTCGTGTGTATGTGCGGGAGATTTTACGTAGAACAGGTAACATTCAATTAACTATTAAATTCTGATATGATAGGCATGCATATGATAACTAATTCCATGGAAGATTTAACAAATGTAGCAACTACTAGTATATAGATTTGTAAATGCAAAACTTTGTTAAACCTAACATTTCTGCGTCTTTTCATTTGCTCACACATGACCGAGATATTGCGATTCTAACAATAATCTTGTTTTTTTACAGGACGTGTGTCCCTCATTTGCATGGAAACTGGACCGTCTGATAAGTGGTTCCGGGGTTTCCTCGCCAGACACCCACAACTGTCGGAGAGAACCCCGGAAAACCTGGACAAGTCTAGAGCGAGAATGTCTAGTCAGTATACAATGGACGGCTGGTTTGAGCTCCTTAAGAAAGTTTTGAGGGACAAGAAGCTCGAGAACAAGGAAGGACAGGTACCTTTATACCAAGTTTTACTCTTGATAAATTTTTTAATCTATGAAATATATTGAATTTTCTTGGGAAAAAAATATCATATATTTTCTACATCATCTCTTATGAAGTAAAAACCTTTTTAATTACAGATTTTCAATGTAGATGAAGTGGGTTGGTCGGGGAAGGAGAGAAAGAAGGTGAAAGTGTTTGGACAGAAAGGGGCCCACTGCTTTGCGGCCAACAATATCACATCATGTGAACATGTGACGGTCAACATGTGTATTTGCGCAGATGGCAGAATACTACCGCCAATGATAATATATAAAGTAAAACATACATTATATAATTTACATGAATATTGTCACGTTATATACATTAATTATGCTATAATTTGTTCTAAACACGTCGTCTCCTTAACATTGTACAAATGAGTATTTTTAAGTGAGTCTTATTAAGCCATCGAGTATACGCTGCAAATTTATACAGAGCTCGTAATAAAGAATATATTTTCATTACAACACAGTACAATCATGCCGCTTTCTTCTAGATAATAGTTTATGCGTGTATACATACTGGATTTCAATATTACAGGAATCGTTACCACACAGGTCCATGTATGACGGAATACCTGGAAGTTGGCTGTACGGCAAGAGCGAGAACGGCTACATGGACGGTGACCTGTTTCTGACGTGGTTTAAAGAAATATTTCTGATTAACTGCGGCAGGGAGAGGCCCGTCCTGTTAGTCATGGACAACCATGATAGCCATGTTACATTGCCATTGGTGGAGACTGCCCGTTTAAATGATGTTGTACTGCTCGGGTTGCCTGCCCACACAACGCACATTCTTCAACCATTGGATGTAAAAGTAAGTACATGCACATGCAATTACATAAAAGATTTTTTTTCGTCGAGACTTGCATTAGAAAAGATACATGATAATATCATTAAATTGTATTATAATATTTTATGTACTTGTTACCTTATATATTGGGAAGGTTTAGAGCAAGTCACATGTACATATTCTTAAACATATTTATATAATATATACAAAATTAGTTTCTTTTTTTTATTTTAAACCTTTGAGTTACACTTTACGTATATCTGTAAGGAATGATCTGATATTTTGAAGGTAAATGGACCACTGAAGACCAGATTCAGTAATCTGGCGACGCATCTGGGCTTCGCCAACCCAAGCCTGTCAATAGGAAGAGCGAGATTTCCTGTAGTTCTGCGTCACGCAATAGAACAGACGACACCCTCCTCTGTTAGGCAGGCGTTTGTGGCTACCGGCATAGTGCCATTTAACCCACAAGCAATAGATAAATCACAATTAGTTCCAGCAACTTTTACTAAAACAAATGAACAGAGTATGTATTTACTGTTTATCGTTTACTTATTTTAACAGAAAAACGCGTAATGCATGTTAATAAATTTGTTTAAGATTTCAAACATTTATTTAAAAAGTTCCATTAGTTCACTTTTGAAGTAATTCGTTCGTTGTCCGTTTTCTTGCCACACTTACCATTAAGTTTTATCAAGGTAAACAACATTCCTAGATAGCTTTTAACCAAACATTTAAATGATTGTTCAGTTCCGCGGCAAAGTCAATACATTTGTCTCTTTTGTAAAGAACATATTTTTAAGAGGAAAAAATATATCAAAATTACGATATATATTAATTTCAGCTGGTGAAAAGGAAAACAGCAATGTTAAAACATGTGAGGCTTGTGGGTCATTCCTGACAAATCCTTTAGTGGATCAAGGGGTCATACCGCAGTCAATTGCGCAGGTGTTGGTGCCACCGCCACAAAAAACAACGGGAAAATCAAAATCTTCACGAATTGTGACCGAGGGTCGGGTTATAAGTGGCGATGAAATGCTGAAAAAATTAGAAGTAAATTCACTAGAAATATATCTGCTTTTGTACATCCAACTTAAGTATATTATGAAACCACACACGTACTTTTTTGACGCTACTTAAAACCTTTTGTCGTCCATTATATACCTTTACTCTGTTTAATAAAAATCAAACTGAAAACAAAATTATTTTTGAATTGCTAATAATTTTGTTTCTTCATCTCTATTTCAACAGTTATTCTGTTCTTATTTTCAGGAGAAGGAGGAGGTCATGCGACGCCAGATGGAGGAAAAGGAGGAGAGGTTGAGGTTAAAAGAACAAAGGAAACAGCAGAAAGAAAAAGAAGAAGAAGAGAAAGTTGAGAAGAAGAAACGACGGGAGGAAGAAAAGAAAAAGAAGGAACAAGAACTTAAGGAGGAGCGAATGAAGAAGGCTGTTGGGGGACGCTTAGCACATAAACGTTTTACGTGTGCTGTGTGTGGGGAGAGAGGGCGTGTGAATGACGAAATGAATGGAGTTATGTGGTATGGGTGCGATGATGGTATGTGTGGGCGTTGGTATCATGAGGAGTGCTTGGGTCAGAGTGAGAATGAGTATCTGAAGGAGAGTGAAAGTGATGATTTGCCTTGGTATTGTGCCGTATGTAAACCGTGGTTGTATGAGGAAGAGTAAGAGTACGAGAAATTGTGATGTTAAGATTATGTCTGAATGTATTTCTTGATGTTTTTTAGTTATTTCATAAATTTGTGTTTTATAGATGTTTGTTTTGAGTTTATATAATCAAAATGATGAAATAAATGTGAGAATAGTTATATGTCAAGATTAGTTTGTTAATTTTATTTGTCTGCGCGCTTACCATTGTATACAATGTATACAGTTGTATATAGAAAATTATATATATCTTACATCTGTTTGATAGGATACACAGTGTAATCTATTTCAAAAACATAAGCCAGATAATTTAAGCTAGAATAGCTGTTGCCGTTATGGTGAGTTCATTGTCATACGAATTGTAGAATGTTACCACAAACGAGCATGAGTAAATTTAACTGTCTCATTGAAACACTCGATCTGGCAGAAGAAAGCGTTCACATTCTTAATAGGCCTAGTTGTTAAACATTCATAAGACTATTTTAAGCACGATAAAAGTCTCGTTTCTTCTTTAATCTAAATAGACTATTATACAGTGTCACTCTTTTTAGATCCTTAAATAATAAAATTGATTTTTTACGTTCTTTAGAAAATTACTAAGTTTACATCACTTAAGACAAGGTTGACGTCAAAATATTTACGTCAAGAGCTCAATACCAGACCTCATAAACTAGCTTATAACGATTTCAAATTTAATAATAAAATTCTCAAATTTTCGGCAATTGCCGCTGGAATATTGCTTATGTGAACAGTATTGTTTTTAAACCATACAAGCCATTACTTTGGCTAAATTATAGCTATATACTGCCTGTCCGGACACATGGTACTGTAGTCTGGATAATTTTGACACTTTGGTACACCCCCGCACGGGCCTCATACACGAATGTCTACGTAATCGGAAGTAAACAAACCAGCTCTTCAGTTTAGCGAAGAACCTAGCTGTAGTGTGTTAAAATTTCAGGTATCTAGCTTTAAAAATGTGAAAAATATATGGAAAAATGTTTAAAAAGTGTCCGGTTGATGGTCGCCAACCAGTATGTAAGAACTGAAATGCACTCAACCTAGCACCGAAATTAATTTTTGTCACAGCCTCAACAAATGATTTTTAGAAATATTTATAAGCTATCGTGCGCTAATATCGAAAGTAAAATAGTTAGGATAACGTGTTCCTTTTTGTGCGCAATCAAATAAAGAACTATCCCTTGCATTCACTACGTAATCTCTACGTAATAGTCCAACATGGCCGACATTGAATTATGCATTGCAAATTTTTATAAATATACAGTGCTAACAATTAAATTCAGATGGATTTATGAGGCATATCTATATATTAAGTGAGGCTGCATCATAAACAATCGAACTATATAATCTTGAGTGTAAAATAAAGGAATAAACTATTTTGACAGAAGTCACGAAAACAGATTAAAAACACAGGATTCTACCACGGATAACTTTAAGGGAAATGGATAACATTAAGGGAAAAGCTTCCAGAATCAGGAATGATTAAATTGCTGGCACAATACGTAGATTTAAGTTGATGTCCTGTATGTTTCATTAGGACACCGCATGATTTATCTTGTCTTGTCGCCAGCAAAATCTTCTCAAAACGAAAGTGAAAGTAGAAATAAACAGTCTACTTAAATCCAGTGAAATCACAAAAAAAGGTAAAATTTCTAGGGCATTACAATATATGAGTATATATAAATATTAAGAACGCAATTTTATTTTAGGTCTGAAACAGTAGTCGAGAGTAAAAAAAAATGAGGAAAATAAGGAAACCGGTTGTGATGTAAAGTTATTGGATTTACAAAGACAGCGCAACAGAAATTATTTTTCATATCACTTAAAATTGAAATTTATTGACGTGCGCTTAATATGTATTAAAAAGAGGATATTGAATGAGTGTAAGTTCAATGCTGAATTTATTGCACGAGTTGAATAAATTATATTATGCGACCTCTAGCTCAGGTGAGCATAATATTTACTTTATTCAATGAGTGCAATAAATTCAGTAATGAACATACACAAATTTAATATAATATTCTATTTAACACATACTAAAAATAAAGACCGTTTAAAGTGAAATCAGAGTCATTTTTCTTTGACGCGCCTATATAGTTTAACGCTATCATTTAGCATGTCTTTACACTATATGTTTGTATAACGCTAATGACGTCACGTCAAAATATATGCACGGCCGTACAATGCCATATTTACGGAGTCGCAAAATCAGCACTGGTGTGTGATAATATAATGCTTTATCACACACCGGTGCCAATTTTGCCACTCCGTAAATATGGTATTGCACATCTGTACATATAATTGACATGACGTCATTAGCGTTATACAAACATTGTGTAAAGACACACTTTAAATATGCAGCCTGACTGGGACTTGAGCCCGAGACCCCTTGAATACAGTGTCGAAGCTGACTACCGGCTAAGCTATCAGTCCGCTTGCATACTCCTCCCGTCAATGAACAGTTCTTAGCTGTAGAAATGAAAAAAAATCAGTTTTACAGTATCCTTTTTGTGATTCCATATACCATGCCAGTAATGGTCCCCTGACAGGGAAGGGAACACTTCCTTACTGATAGTGGATCTGAACACCTCAGTGTCTGCATTATAGGACATTTGCCATACCTTTTTTTATTTTTTAATGAAATTTGGTGGATTTTTTTCCATATCAATCAAACAGATGTAATTGTTACTCAATATTATAGTAATATGTTGCCTTACTAACTTAGTTTCATTTCCTAGGAGGTTATAATAAGGTAAAATTACCCCCATTTTTTAAGATGTAATGTATTTGCTTGAACAAATAGGCATCATAGAAAATTTACCCTATCCTTCTTCATTGTCAATATAATTCAATGGGGTTTTCTTATTTTAGTCAATTAGATGTAGTTGTACTTGATAGTACCCGTACGAAAATTCCAGCCGTAAAGTAGCAGGAAAAGACACGGAAATTGGACGTAAAACCACTTTTCCAGGCGTAAAACACACGTAATTTTTAAGAGCAGGAAAAACATGGAAAGTTTGGCCGTAATTTTCTATTTTTTACGGCTGTACTTTTCTTTACAGACGTAAAATTTGACTTTGAATTTTGAGGTGTTGTAAAAGTGAATCAAAATTGCTTAAGTTCCATTTTACGCCCGTAAAATAAAATTACGGCTGTAAAAAAAGTGTACTCTAAGGTTCTTTAGTTGCATGGAATAAAGACATTAAAAAGTTGAAATATTATTCTATGCCCAGAAAATGCATTCATCTGGATATAGTTTGTTGCTACTCCTATGAAAATTAAACGTCAGTCTTCAATAAGTTTGACCTTGGTCTCTTCTTCTAAATGGGATTTGTCCATTTAATATTTGTATAAACTGATACCAGTACTTACACCTTTCATGTTATGCTAACAATAATTAAAAGTGAAAAAGTGCAAAGAGCAGTAACTTAAAAATTATGCAAAATAGTTATATATGGTTCTAAAACACTGAACTTAACACAAAAAGATCTATCCATCTGTGAAGTTTCAAATTAATATTTCCAATACTTTTAAAGTTGTATGATTAAGACAAAAAATAAGCAAGTACAAAAGGGAAATAACCCCCAAATCATACAATAAAATAAAGAGTTATGGTTCTTAGGCATTGCACTTCTCATAAATGAGATCTACTTATATGAGAAGATTTAGAATTATTGTCTCTAACATTTTTGTGAAAAACTTACAAAAGGCAATAAACTCCATTACTTTGCAGGAGTGTTATGTATAATTAGGAAAAAAAAACATGTATCAAACTTGTTATCAATATCAATTATTTAAATGCTACTAAGTATTTGATAGAAATACAATAATGAAGCAATGTGCTTATACATATACCCCACTGTGAAACTTAGTCATAGTATGCCCTTGAGGCTTTAAATCTATTGTACAAATAATGCATGGTAATTTCTTATAACCAGGAAAAGTAAATACTGCACCCACTAAGATTTAACAACACAGATCTGATAAAACTGACTTCCCTCTTATCTATACATACATCTCTGCATGGCGGTTAATACTCACTATGTTTACTCATGCTGACCAGACTGTTCTATTTGGTTATTTTGGGAGAGGCAACATTATACATTTTATGTGTAGAATCTGTGTTAAAACAACATGCTAAATTATCTTTCAAAAACATAATTGTACACTATCTATTTAGGTATTAAACATAGTTTATACATATAAATGAATGTAAAAAATAAAATGATGGGTGCTTTTGTTTTTGGATATCCCTCAGAGTTTAACCCATTACTTCATATACACGCCTTTTAACGCCCTTTTCACCCCCCCCCCTTTTTGTTGTCTCAAATGATGAAAAAATGCCTTATTTAGGCCCCAAACACTTGTTTTTGTTTGAGAAATTTTGTTAAAAAAAGTGACCTCTGTTTCGGCGCGGCCCCCAAACCAAAAGATACATCAGGGGGTTGCCAGAAGGGGGATGTGCCCCCTTCTGTTTGGGGGGTTTGAAGGGGGGCGGAGTCTCCCTCATCGCCAAGAAAATTTTGGACTTGTGAGAGGCTGTAAATGACCCCAGATTGATCATAAGGTAACGTGTAACCAACGCTGAAAAGCATTTGACTCTATCTCAATCCATTGAGAAGTTGCAGCACTTTGAAATCAATTTTGATGGAAAAAATCAACGCAAAATAGTGATTTTGGGCAATTTTGAGATGTCCCCTCGTTGCCATGGTAACAGAAAATTTAAGCCTGAGCATGTTGTTGCAAGGGCAATGGTCCAGTCAACATTTGTGCCAAGTTTGATTTGTGTTGAAGCAGTTTTTATAGTATTATAGCACATGAACTTGTAACGGGAGACTTTTCAATGAAAACAGCCATTTTTCACAAAATGCTCATGAAGCAATGGGTTAAAATTATAATGGAACCTTCCAGTAATACAGTAACAGTTTGAATTCAAAGGAATTGAGGTCAGTGCAAACACAAAGGAAACGATTGATATTGTAGCAATTCTGTAGATTGTTATTATTGTGTTTTAAATGTAAGGATGCATATTTTTAATTTCTCAAAGAAAGCATTTAAAGTCTTACTAGTGTGGTAAATAGAAATGAGAAGAATCTGGAAATGATTTTAACTGAAGTGTGAATGTGTAGATTATATTATTGGACAAGAAGATATTAACAGCAGAATCATTCGAAGTCAAAGTTTCAGGTAAACAACTTTTACATACATTAGATTTATGCAGAAACAGATTAGCTTTTAAAATCATAACTTTCAAGTGCATTGTACAGAAATTAGTTTTTTTTTTTCTTTCAACTTGACTAAAACAGAAATCTGCATGTACATGTACATATAAAAATGTAGGAAAGATCTTCATCATTTCTTAATACAGTATGTTAGATTATTTTTAAGTTCAAGAAAAAAAAATGATATCAATTTCTAAGTATTGCACTGGTCAACACCATATTATGTATAATATTATATCAATTTAGATTATGAGATTACATTGCAGGCTTGGACCATGCAGTACAGACTAAGATGCTGTCTCAGTGTTTATGTGTGCAACATTTAACTAGCGTAAAGCCCAAGAAGGTAACTATGTTTTAAATCTCTAAACAATACCATTTACAATATAATTAAATATCATATAAAAATAAAAATATTTGAAATGAAATTCGTAGTCGAATCAAGTGATTGGTTTAAGACTATCAATTAAAACACCACTGTTGACTCAGTTTTGACATAATAATTATTGTACAGTGAAATAAGATAATGAGTTGAAGCTTTTTATATTTTTGAATATGCAGCCATTAGCATGAAAATTGTATATTATCTTTTGAGATATTATGAAATGCAATATTGTTATATTAAATATCTATTACTGATCCCCATTGTAATTCCATCTTTAATAAATTAACTAATATTATACATGTATAATCAATGTATAATTTTGTCCTTAAAGGTGAACTGGACACAACCCTGTGAAATTCCTGGTGTTCGAAAACCAAAGCAAAGTGCTGGAACAGATGGACATGGTTAAAGAGAAATTGGTAGTTTAAATAATCAGATTTTTTTTTAAATTTCATATCGGCAGTTTAACTTATAAGCTGACTTTTTTGAAGAATAAGGAAAGCTATCCTAGGCCCCCCCCCCCTCCCCGAGGGGCGGTGATGGCTAAAACCACTTTATGTTAAATTTTAATAATGTTCTTTTTTCGACTTAGAATTTATATTATATTAAAGTTAAAGAAACACCACAAATATTTTCCAATTCCATAGACATTTGGCTGTGAAGCTTTGCACACTTGTTCACCATCATGTTTTCAATCTGTACACAGACGAAAGTGACTGCATCAAGCATTTTGACAGATTTATGCCCCTTTTGACAATTAAAATCTATGTCCAAGTTTGCGTACAACCTCAAGTATTTTCAAAGTCTATTGACACATGGCTTTGAAACTTTGCATACTTGTTCACCATATGTCCTCAACCTGTACACAGTAGGATGTCATTGATCAAGCATTTTGACAGAATAATGCCCCTTTTCCACATAGAATTTATGTTAAGTGTGCATAGCATCACAGATATTTTCCAATTCCATTAACACTTGGCTTTGAGACTGTGCTCACTTGTTCACCATCATACCCCCAACTTTTCTTACCGCTGCTCTTTGACTTCTTAGTGTGACCACGACCTTGCAGTTAGGAGTCTTAGTCTTGTGCATATTTTACTATTTCATCATGTTACAAATTTGTGCCAAGTTATTTCAAAAACCCTCAATGCAGGATAAAGTTATTAGCTTCAAATGATTTTCTTACACTTTGACCTGTAACTGTGAGTCTGTGACCTTGACCTTTGAACTAGGGTCTTATCCAAGGGCATGACATCGCATCTCATTATGCTTCATATTTGTGCTAAGTTATTCTTTAAAATCCCCTTTGATGAATAACAAAGTTATGGCTGGACAAGATTTCTTACCTTTGACCTCTATGTGTGTGACCTTGACCTTGGAGCTGTGGTATTAAGCATGATCAATGTCTGAATATGCTACAAAATATTTTCCGAGCTATTTGAAAATTCCCTTGATGCATGATGCAGTCATTGACCCAGACAAGGTTTTCGTACACACATAGACATGCACTAATGGACACAGAACAGACAGGCGGAAAGGGGTATTGCTATATGCCCCCTTACTATTATCATGGTGGGGGCATTATAAAATGCATGTCAGAAAATAGGCAAAATGTCAAGATTCTTATACTTAAAACTTTACACCTTCAATGATAAGAGGAAAGTTGTTGTAATATTAAAATAGGAAATGCATATTATACAATGCTTGATATGGCTAATATTTTACAGGTATTGTTGGAACAACATTACAAATGGTGCACTGAGACACAAGATTCTTAAAAGGTCACAAAAAGGAGAGGCTACAACTGCAACTAGATTGAACAGCAAGTGAAAAAATCAACTCATTACATGAACTTAGTTAAAAAATTACAATCTTTTTAACAAACAATTGAGTTTAATTTGTAGATTTGAAACAAAATTGATTTCATAAACCTAAAAAACAAGCAATTCTTTGGTTATATATCTATGTTAGGATCAGGTTTTGTGTTTGTGATCATTTGTTGTTTGTTACTGGCTTATTTTCTCAAATGTTCCAGGATTAAGAAAAAATATATTCTATGAAACATGTGACAATTAAACAAGGATGACAAGCTTGTTCTTCAGATGCAAAAAAATCAAAGCATACTTTAAGGACAGACGTAAAAATTAGTATAGACGTAAAATTTGAATTTTGTACGCCCGTAAAAGGAATTTACGGGCGTAAATTTAATATAGACGTAAAATCTGGATTTTATACGGCTGTAAAGGGAATTTTACAGGCGTAATTTTTATTTTTGAATTCCTGCTCATTTAAATATTACGTGTCATTTGTACGCCCGGAATCCGTGCCATTTACGGCTGGTTTACGTGCGTAAAACCGTATTCCAGGCGTAATTTATTCTATAATATTAGAAAAAGCATAAGGCGTATTTTCTTTTGTACGGGCGTAAAATAAAAAAAAAATTCCGTCTATTTTACAGCTGGAAAATTTCATACAGGTATAACATTATTTGGCTTTACTTGACCAGAAGGTTATAAATAGGTAAACTTACCCAAATTTTCACTGATTTAGTGTGGTAAAGTTATTAATAAGGCATTATAGAAAGTTAGCCATTATTTCTTAATTTTCAATGAAATTTTTTGGGATTTTCTTATATAAGTCAATTAGATGTAGGTATTACTTAATACAATAATACTAAGTTGCTTAACTAACTTTGATTCATTTACCATGAGGTTATAATCAGGTAATATTACTCCCATTTTTAATGAATTAGTGTGTAAGCTTGTATAGTTATACATAATAGGAAATAAGCCATAATTTTTTTAATATTAAATGTAATTAATTGAGATATTCTTACTTTAATCAATTAGATATGCTTGTTAATTAATATAATAGATTTATGTTGCACTTATAATTCTGTTTCATGTCATAGGCTGTTATAATAAGGTAAAAAACCCCATTTTGTAGTGAATTAGTGTTCTATCTTAAGACAGTAAAGTATCTCAGGAAATTTGCAATAACTCTTATATTTTGTAATGAAATTTGGTGGGACTTCCTTACTTTAGTCAATTAGATACGTTTGTTAATTAATATGATAGATTAATGTTCCTCTTATAGCTTTGTTTAAATTCCAAGGCTCTTATAATTAGGTAAAATTTTCATATTTTGTAGTGATTTAGTGCATTTTCTAGGACATTTAGGCATCTTAGGAGATTTGCCATAATTGTCATATTTTGAAATGAAATTTGTTAGGACTACCTTATTTTAGTCAATTAAATATGGTTGTATATTAATATAAAAGATTTATGTTATAAAAAATTCTGTTTCATTTCCTAAGAGGTTAAGTGTAAGGTAAAATTACCCAGTGTATCAACATTTTATGTGGCACTTCTTTCTTGTATAGTTTGGGTCCACATGGAATTTACTATAACATTTATATTTTTCATGGACAATTATTGAAATCTTCTTTTTTAAGTTATCTAATTAAAGCTTTTAATTAATAAAAATTATTTGGATTGAGTTATCAATTACATTACTTTTCATAGGGATCTTGTATTAAGCTCTTGTTAATGAACTGACCTACCTATGAAGCATAAAATTGATATTGTAGGAAAATTAAAATAACAATCAATTGAAATTGTACAGGTCCCAAAAGATATATTAGTATGCAAAATGGGTTTTTGTAAATTTAAATAAATACATAGGTGATATTTAAGTATAATATAGTTAGAATTTTAGCAGTTTTGAGGTTATAACTTACTTGAGGGGAGTTAAACAAGTGACTTGGGACTACAGCATACCTAGCTGAGAAAAAGCTTCAAAGAATTATATGGTTATATATGGATAGGTTATATACTTTTAAGTTAGCAAAGGGCGACACAGGCTCATCTCGGGTATCTTAAAGGGGTATTATGTTGAGTAATGGTTACGGATTGATAAATCTTTAAAGTGATTTTAGATAATATACAGAATAAAAATCAAAAAAAGCTATATATGTTTATCAAAGTGGGTTATAATATGGACTTCATATAAGATTAAGATATATTTGAGCCGGGTCACGATAAAACCAACATAATAGGTTTGCGAACAGCATTGATCCAGACCAGCCTGCGCATCTGTTCGCTAACAGTGTCTCTACTTGTTATACGGTTTGTAAGTGAACAGCATGGATCCTGATCAGACTGCGTGGATATGCAGGCTGGTCTGGATCCATGGCTGGTCGCCATACCACTATGTTGGTTTTGTCGTGACGCGGCTCATTTAACTTTTAACATGTAAACACTGAACTGGATCGGGAAACAAGGATTGACAATTTTATTAAGATTGCTAAAAATAATAATTGTAAACTGTTTTTATTGTACATAATAGGAATATTTGCTATATCATTGTATCTTTCTCTTTGTTTGATTGGACTGGTTGAAATTCATAGAAATCCCCAATCAAGGTAATCATTATTTAACAAAACATATATTTATTAAATATCACAAGTAATAACAATACATCAATATGACTGTCAGACAGATCTTGAAACAAAATAAAGGGCTTTAAAAGCCCAGGCCACATACAAAAATAGTAGTCTATGCTTTGATAATGAGCTGACAGATAGGGGAATTTTGTAAAGGGTGGCTTAGCCTGTCTAAAACATGTCTTAACATGTCTAAAAAGTACATCATGGTATATTTTAGCCACCATAGAATTTATCTAGAAAATAATCTAGCTATTTTTATTTGTACAAAAATATAGAAATAATACAATTTATAATTAGTAAAATGTTCACTATACATGTACAAATAATGAAAATATTAACAAATGTCGGTACAGCCGCGGTACGGTATTTAGAGGGTCACGGGTTCGAGTCCATGTCAGGATGCACTTTTTTCTCACCCTGTGACTGATATAACATTTGTATAGCCCAGGTAGAAATTAAATCACAATGCTAAGTAACCCTGGGAAATTCGAAGAAATATTTGCATACACAGTAGGTTTATAACGATTCAGTATTTTAACAAGTAAAAACGTGTAAGCGGCCCGAATAGCTCGGAGGAACTCAAGAGCCGCGGAATGGTATTCCGAGTGTCAGGGGTTCGAGTCCCTGCCAGGCTGTTACATATCAATATAAATCTGTCAAGAAAAATAGGGAGGAACTGTCTAAAATAATTATCACCCTAAATAGGATTCCGGATCGGGTTCGGACAGTCTTTGATGAAAAGTCAGAAGATGAACTTGTAAAGGGGGTGGGGTGCTAGTCTGATTACCATCATTTGATGTCTGACGAACTTCATATCTAATATATATTGGTATGCATATAAACACCTGTTTGCTGAATTTAATATCAAAAATGTTGCAATTTATTAGTAACTACGAGGAGTATTCAATAATTAGTGTCGGGGCTATAGTAAAATGAAAACTTTTAAAGCAACAACCATTTTTATTTTTTTAAACCTTCAAAGTAATCTCCTTTGAACAATATCCAGAGTTTCAAAAGTTTGATCCAATTTTGAAATGCTTTTTTATAGTCTTCTTGAGGTATACCCCTACATAACTGATGTAATGCTGAACCAAGTCCATTTCTAGTGCTGTAACGGCGATCCTGAAGGTGTTTCTTTAATCTTGGAAACAGGAAGAAATCGCAGGGTGCCAAATCTGGCGAGTATGGTGGGTGATTAATCACAGCTACACGTTTGCTCTCCAAGAATTTCTTAACAATGTCTGCCTTGTGTGGAGTAGCGTCGTCATGGAGAAGATACAAACCTCTCATACCAGTATGTGGACGTCATTTGCGATAATATTTGTCAACTTTGTTTAACACTATTCGTTTGTAAAATTTTGCAGTAACGGTACGACCTTTTGGAATAGGAACTTGTGTCACTACAACATGTATACCAAAGATCATGGCATACATAACCTTCTTCTGCCAGTCATTCTTTTAGCTGAACAGGGCCTACGGATATGTTTGGTGGCCCATATCTTAATTTTTACCTTCCGTGAGGGCTCAAAATAGTGGAACCAGCTTTCGTTTCCAGTTACAATGTTAGAAAATTTACGATCGTTATATTTGGGAAACATCTTCAATAATTTCTTGGCACATTTTACACGCTCTTGCTTTTGCTTTTCAGTCAATTAATGTGGTATCCATCTGGCTGCAATCTTCTTAACTTTGAGGTGCTTCTTTAGAATCATAAATGTACTTCTCGTTGAAATGCCAGTATACTTAGCTATTCAGAAACTGTATATCCGAGTTTCTTTGTTAATGAGTTCTTGCATTTTTTAATGTTGTTTTTTGTTGACCACTGTGTGTTTTCTTCCCCTACCACTAGCATCTTAAGTGACTCCGTTCCACTTTTAAACTTAACAATCCATATTTGAACTGCTCTTTCACTAACCACAGATGGTCCATGAATACGACAAAGTTATTTATGAATGGCTGCACCATTTAACCCAAATGTCATACGCGCTTTGACATGTTTGATGTAAGCTCGAATTTCAACATTATTTACTGAATCTTTTCCAGCCATTTTTATACGCAGTTGATCGAATATTCAACTTTCAACAATGAATTTCTTAAAACGTGTTTGAATTGGGATACATGTATGACACACCGTTGGAAAGATAAAGAGTTGAAGCGTATCATAATGTAACTTTGCACGTGATTGACGAAACATACTTAGAGAAAAATGAGGCCCGTCACTAAATATTGAATGCTCCTCGTGAATCTTATACATGTATGCGTATGTAAACTAGGATTAAAACTAATTAATCTTCGGCGTAAAGCATGTAGAAATCTGACCAGTATTCACCGCGAGGTCACAAACTTTAAAACTTTAATGTAAAGATCACAATAATACTTCTTTATATAATATTTCTATTCTTTGACAGGGACAAAGAACATCTCTTACATGTTTAAGAAACAAGAAATTTACATAATATATCTATCTAAGATATTCTTTTACTTCTGAATAGTAA